AGGAGTATATCTATCATCATGGAAGTCTGCCGCAGTACAACCCATTCCAAAGAAAGGAAAAAAGACAGATCCGTTAAACTATAGACCAATTGCTCTACTTCCGGTGATATCAAAAGTAATGGAAAGAGTTGTGAACAATCACCTAACCAAGTACTTGGAAAAGTACAAAATTATCAACGATAAGCAATAATACGGATTTCGAAAATATAGGTCAACTGGCGATTTACTTACATACGTCACTCACTTATGGCAAAAAGCGATTGAGTTGCGGGGTGAAACAAGAACAATTGCCTTACATATATCTAAAGCATTCGACAAAGTTTGGCATGAAAATCTGCTCAACAAGCTCAAAGCAATGGGATTATCGCCGAAACTTTGCACTTGGTTTGAAAGTTACCTAAAGGACAGATCCATTTATGTGGCACTGGATGGCCAGAACTCCAACTCTTACCAAATAAATGCTGGTGTGCCACAGGGAGCAATCCTTTCGCCAACTCTTTTCCTGATTTACATAAATGACCTCATAGATAAAACAGTAAATCCACTTTATTGCTTTGCAGACGATGGCAATGTAGTCTCCTCACTCATACCACCCACAGGTCTTTCCGCACGTGAATTCCATCATCTTAGACTAACTCAAATATCGCAGATAAATAACGACCTGGAGATAATAGAGGACTGGGGTAACAAAAACCTTGTACAGTTCAACGCGCAGAAAACCCAAGCAGCTCTGTTTTCAAAAAAGACCAGCACCGGTGAGCCAAACATCACGCTATCTGGAAGTGCTGTCACATTACAGAGTCAGTTAAACATCTTGGGGGTTACTGCAGAGACCAACATGTCTTGGCACAGTCACGTGGCAGATATTGCTAAAAGGGCCTCCCAAAAGCTGGGGGTGCTATTTCGTACAAGACATCTGTACACACCAAGCCAATTGCTGACACTCTACAAAGCCCAGATTCGACCAACTATGGAGTACTGCTCACATATATGGAGTGCAGCACCCAAACATACCTTAATGCTTTTGAATACCGTGCAAAAACGACCTATCAAGCTGATCAATGACCCCGCACTTACTCGTAACTTGGATGGTCTCGAACATCGCAGATCTGTGGGCGATTTATCTCTCTTCTACAGGTACTATCACGGAAAATACTCTGAAGAGTTGGCACGTATGATTCCACCGAGAGTAGCACCTACCAGGCGAACCCGTCAAACAGACGGTAACCATGAATTTACTGTCAAACTAGAGGCACCAAGAACCTCATTATATCAGAATTCATATCTCTGGAGAACAGCATCGCTGTGGAATAAACTCCCTGCGACGGAATTCCCTGCAGGTTACAACCTAAACCGTTTCAAGACCAACATACACCTCGAGCGTGATAGGACATTTCCGTGCGAGTGCGCATATCCGTAAAAAAAAAAAGGGGATTATGTAGATTATAATGCCCGAAGGCGAAACTAGCCTGAGGTTCCTTGGCCCGAGGGATATATTTCGCCTGAAGGGCATTATAATCTAAGAATCCCCGTGGTGCATACAATGCTTTATTTTCTACTCAACACAAATGTTCTTTCATCAATTTAGTATCAAACAAAATCAGTTAAACTGGTGTGACAGAATATTGTTTTATATTTTGACATGTACCTATACTTATAAACATCTCAAAAGGCAAGGCAACGGTGGTCGTGTGGGTTAACGCGCTCGACTACATGGAAAAGGTTGATGGTAGACCGGGCTCAAATCCTGGCCAGATTGAAAATTATTTTCGGTCGGACATTAAGTGGCAGCATAGGGTAAAGTGCAAATTAATAAAACAACAAAAACCCTTCAGGGTATTATTAGCGAGCGTTAATAGGCGGTTACACACGGGCGTGGATGGCTTTATACATATACGTGCATACATTAACGTGCAAACACACAGCCTCCTACACTTAACTTAAGTGTAGGAGGCTGTGGCAAACATCAACGAACGTGCATGGAATCTTTGTACAGCCGCTCGCACAAAACTATCAAAACTGCAGTCTTTCTACTTTTGCTACAGTGTTCCGAGTGTACATAAAAAATTTCTACCGCTTGCACATTCAAAAACGCCACGGTATTTTGCATACACATTGATGTTTTTATTTGCGCGTTCATGTAGGTGCGTACATGTTTTCAGACATCCACGTCCGTGTGTAACCGCCTTTATAGATCATAAAGCCCGCTGGGCTTATAATGCCCTCAGGTTGGTATAGGTAGTGTGATGATCCAGGAATTTGACCCGATAATTACAAAGTCTTTACTGTAATAATTAAATTTTATCAAATAATCAAAATTTAATTCCGGTATTTTTAAATCTGTATCGATAAATTAAAAATAAAACAAACTAACGCTAACGTATTGCAACACCGGCAAAGTCATCATCTAAATTAAATTCTTAAAAATGATAAAAACGAGGACAGTGACATCACTAAAACCCGATCAATGAACTTTTTTTTAGCAAGGCCAGCATGTTGATTAATTTGATGATATATGGCATTCTTGAACCAATAATGTTTTGACATTAATAAATCAGAACATTGCGACATAATTAATCGTTTTCAGGCTAAAAATGATGTAAAATTCGAAGGAAATTGCATCATTATTTTTAATAATAATTATGTTGGCCAATGGAAGTGTCGGATTGCTAGGCAAATGACCGCCTGTTGACGATTTGGGGGAAGATATAAAAACCGTGGGTTCAGTTGCCATTGAACAGTTGCCAGTTGAAAACAGTCCAGTCCAGTTTGAGGTAAAGTCTGCCCAGTTTCGCGAAAAGTTACTTTTATGGCTTATGGCCTCGGGTATAATATAACTTAGAAAAATACGAAAAATCGGGAAAGTAATAACATTTGAAATTCGTTCAATAATTTATGTGCGTGCTAGCTAAATATTTTGAGTAATTAATTAGGTAATTTTACGTGTGTTTTATGGACAAAATGTGAGTACTCTATAGTGACGAGATTTATTTTTGATGAACATGACTGTGTGAATTTTACTAGAAAAACTTTTGATTTTTATCACGGTGGAACTTTATTACAATAAACTTAATAACTCGAGTGTTTTATAAAGGAAACATTATCGCATAACTTAATTACCTTCAGAGATAATGACATTCTAATTTAATTGTGCAAAGAAAATATTAAGGGTACTTATAATGCATTTAACAATATACAATTTTGAGTTGGAATTATGAATTAAACAGTTGAATTTATTAGCTAGGCATAGGATTCCGAAAATAGAGTTTGTTCTGATAAACTATTAACTGCAATAGGAAATTTAAAAAGAAACTTGATGACATAAAATAGAATTGTTGTCTTAAAATAATGGAAAGTTATCAAAGGAAGCTTATAATAGAATTTGTTCTGATTAAATAAACTATTAAATGGAATAGGTGATTTCGGAAAGAAACTTGTTCTTGAAATAGAATTGTCTTAAAATATTGGAAAGTTGTTGAAAGGAAACTTATAATAGAATTTGTTCTGATTAAATAAACTATTAAAGGGAATAGAAAATTTTGGAAAGAAACTTGAAGTTCGTGAAATAGAATTGTCTTAGAATAAGGGAAAGTTGTTAAAAGAATTTATTGTTCATGAAATGCATTTTGAATTAGGAATTTTATGTTTCAAGTAAAAGTTATTGTAAGATTTTATGAGAATAAATTAGTTGATAAACAAATAGGTAATTATTTTGGGTTTTCATAAGTAAAGGACTTAGAGACTTTAGAGAATTATTTGATTAGGTAAAGGATAGTTATTAGGAATGATTCGGATGTAGTAAAATGAGTTAAATTATAATTTATGAGAAATAGTATTAATAGGGCGTTTCTTATTTAGTAGGGATATTTCAGTGGTCCGTAAAATAACAATATAGAACGGATGTGAAGTATTGATTTTACAGAAATAAAGAAGGATGTAAAGTATTGGAAGATATTTGGCTGATTTTGGGTTTTATGTGAAATAAAATATAATTTAGTACACCTCATTAGTTTGTTTCTCTCTCTTGCAAATAGACCCTCTTCCACAGATTTTAGATAGCAAGCTCCAAGTATATAAACACCATCAATATATCGCTCGCCATTTACCATCTAACTATTTACATAGAGTACTTGGGGCGTTTTGCTACAGTAGGTATTTTAACGTACTTCATTTTCTAGGTATTATCAAAGAATTTATGAATCTATAATAATTAAGTAGAAAATAAAAAAATAAAACACACTGCAACAACGTTTCGTTAATATTTTGATATTTAGAAATGCAAAAATTAAATCATTATTACACAAAATATGTCATTGTGTTTTTGACAAACAGGGAAAGACAGAAACATTATTAATTATAAAGTACTAGCTGTACTGGCTGTTTCACTAAAAAAAGGTAGAAGAAATGTATGCACATTTTAATATAATATTTTATTTTATGTGGATATTTTGAAATTACCTTGCTGATAAGCAGCAAGCAAACAAACTCGTCTTTGTACAAGCTCAAAAACACGGTTGATGGGTTCTCGGTTGTGCTAGCTATAACCGTGCTGGCATTAATTCTGGGTAAAAAATATTAACTGGGAGGGGGGGGACTAGTGTGTTGCCCCCTTCCCCCCGATTTCGAGAGACGATTACGTAATTCCTGTGGATGTGCTAGCTCAACCACTGGGCACGCTAGGTTGTGTTAGCATAACCTTGCTGTGCTAGCATTTTGATTAAAAAATACCAACTGGGGGGAGGCTAACTTAACGCATCCAAACCTCTGCACAATTTTCTGGAGTGTTAACATATGCTACACAATTACCTACTGATATCCTAATAATAATTTAAAAATAGTCTCTTGCTTTCATCATCAAAACTATAGGCGGAAACGAATAATTTCATCGAATATCCATCCGTTTTTAGATGTAGCAAAAAACCCAAAAAAAAAATAAAAATTGGATTTTCAAATTAATCAATAAGGTGGAGATAGATTTTTGTAAATAAAACATAACAAACTAGAAGCATATTAATATTGTGTAATAAATTTATAGGGTACAAAGTACAATATCAAATATAACGTGTAGGTAATAAGTAGACACTAAACAAAAAAATAAACTCATACAGATGAGTAGTACCTCGCTACTCGAAACGTTTCATAAAAACTTAAATCAATTCCAATCAATATAGAATTACAAATAACAATATAAACATATTTTGGTATGGTTAGAAGAGAAATTACTCTATTTTCGGATAATGTCTTAATTTCAGATAGTAAGGTATTCCAAATATTGTACGTAGGGTAGGTATTAAAAAACCAAAACCTCTCCTTGGATGAAGGTAAATGGTAACGCAACTGGATAATCTGTAAATATTTTACATTGACCTTCCGGCACTGAACAAGTTTTTATTTACCTGTCCTTTGATTGGTTTTGAACTTTGAATGGAAAAGGCAAAAAACTAAGACAGTTCTGAATATTAGCACAAACCAATTGAAAGAAGGTTGTGAAAAGCATCAATGAAAATATATTTGTTTATATAAACTTTTGTCCTATTTCAACCCATGGCATGAAACATATATTTAAATCTTCTTTCGTAAGAATTTTTGGGTAATTTCAAAACAGTATCCGAAAATAGGCAACGTTCTCTACCTACTTAATAACATTTAATAGAAGTATAATAATTTTTTTGAAAACTAAACATAATATAGTCTGGCATTCAACATGAACAACATAAAACCGAATGGCATTTCTAATTTCTAATAGTACGTAATATAATTTCCATTACTTTGCACCTTAAGAACGTAAGGTATAAAAATAAAATAAAATGAAAAACATAAATTATTATCAATTCTGACGATCTTCTGATCTTTTTCAAGTCCCATAAATAAATAAAAGGAACCTACATAATTAACCCATAATATAGCACAATACCCATCCAAAAATTGACACGACTCACTCGTGGTGGTTCCATAACAAATCCTCTTCAAACGAGAAGTTATGAGCTGGATGTGTCATTTCCAGCAAAAATGAATATAAACTACTGTTAGATATATGCGGAAATAAAACCGTGAAATTGAAAAAATTGTAATGATTCAATTCTAGATTGACTTAATTCAAGAAGAGTTTTAAGGCCATCTATTTCAATTCCTGCGAATAGGACCCACATAAAGGGTTGTCAATACGCAGAAAGAAAATAAATCACCGCTCGCCAACACAATATCAGACTTGAGACTAGTTTCTGAGCGGTCGCGACACTACTATTCGAATTTTAAATGCTGTTATACGTATTAACCCAAATAGATACAACATAAGGATGGATGCGAATTACAGCAAATAAAGGCAGAGGAAACTTCAAGACCTTAGTTTAAGACCACTGACGAGTCATTTAACCACAATGCAAAGCGATAAAAAGTTTTTTTCGAAATGGCACAATACTGAAGGCGAAGTGTAGAAAGACACAGAGGTGGTATGATATTACACACAAGGCACAATTAGTTTTAGCGCACCCAAGGCAGAATTGTAAGAAAGAAGCACAATTGACCACAATCGAATGTGTTTCCGTAGGTACTTTGGCATGTTTTAGGACATAGATCAACACACGTCTTACGACAATAGTGCTGACCACAACTCGCAATTTTTCACGCAAGTGCCACTGCAATTTCTGCGTTCGTTGCCGCCAGAGACCGTGTACGTTTGATAGCATTTTTCCTGGCATTTGTGTCCACATGCAAGTGGTTTATCGCAAGGAAAAAGGCATCTGGTCAAATCAGTGCACGGTAAAAAACAAAGCGTTTGACAAGGGTGTCCGCAAGCAATCGTTTTCGTGCAAGGTTCTCGACAAACAGAGCAAGGTTCTCCACATTTTGCTATACACGGGTGACCACATTCTAATAGTTTTTCACACCGATTATGACACTTCTCGGTGATAGCTGTATTACATTTTACCCTCCTCAAAGTCTGATGTCCACACGGTAAAATTTTTCTACATTCTTCTTGGCAGTTTTCCTGAGAAGCTTTTTCACCACATTCAACTTGAATAGAATGACCGCACTCAGGAATAATTTCAATTTTGCAGGCACATTTTTTGTTGCATTTTGTTATACACGCATGACCACAGTTCAAGACTTTGTTGCAATTCTCGACGCATATTTCGGAGCAAACTTCATTGCAATTTTTCTTACAAGCATGGCCGCAATTTAAAAATTTTTTGCATGGGTTCTGGCAATTCTTCTGCAATGGAGTTTCCCTACACATCACTTTGATTTTATGGCCGCATTCTGGAATGGCTTTAAAACCGTATTGGGAACATTTAGTGGTGCACAGCTCTGAACATTTGTTAGTGCAAAAGTGACCGCAGGCTAATTTTTTCGAGCAGCGTTGACTACATTTTCTATAGGGGTTTGCATCACAACATTTTAATATTTCAAAATGTGAACATTCTGTATATGATTTAGATACACGTTTTGTGCACAGTCTGCAAGGTTGGCTACAAAGTTGATCGCATTTTCCATGAGCTTCGGGGTCATTGCAAGATTGTAGGTTCTTCGTGCAGGCTTCTCGGCATTGTTCTGTCTGTATCTAAATAAGAAAATACAAAAAATATCATTATTTACTTACTGAACTTTTTATTATTGATAGGAAGTCGATGTTAAGTTCATTTTTAATAATATTTGTCTTTTTAGTACAGTGCAAATACGGTTTGAAAATGAAAATCGGTTTTTCGCAAAAATCTCGACTCTAGTGCATCTGACGTCGGAGAACTCAAAACAAAACTTACGTAAAATAGTATTCTCTACAAAATTGGCATACACATTTTTTTCGTATGAGTAACCGATTTCGAGATATAGCGTGATAAAGCGGGAGCGAGCATCCAAAATAGGCAATACTGTAATATACTGCGGAGCTATAGCTATAAATGCATTTTTCCTAATCTATTAGTCTGGAAAATAACATTTTCAATAATAAAATTGTTAGAAATTTGTTTATTTATAATAATAGTGTTTTTTTATCAAGGGAATTATTAGGGTGTTAATACCCCAGGGCAAAGTTAGGACACCAATTGCCCGTGGGTATTAACACCTGATAGTTCCCGTGGTAGGTACATACATAATTTCATTTCCTACTGTATTTCATCTATTTTCATAAGCGAATGAATCACAAACCAAAATTTCTGAATATTTTTTCTCAAAATTTCACCTATCCAAGGTAAAAGTGGGAGTTATGGAATCCTCAACTACCGCGCGGGAGTTATGTATGATTATCGTAACCAAGATATTAGAGAGATATCGGTAAAACAGATAGCGCGTATGGACGGTACTAACGTCAGGAGTTATTTTTTTAAAGTAAAGCGGTATCATACTTTCAAATTAGAGATTTCGGAAAACAGTTTAACTTAAAATTTGCCTGTTCGCATCCGTTATTTTATAAACGTAGCCTAACTTGTACCCTGTTGTGATTTGATTTGTGTTGCCGGTTATTCATGGTGAGGGACAGAGGATTTGCTTTTTTACTATTTTTTGAACAATCCATATTCACTTGAACACAACAAAAATAATAAAATAAACAATAAACATAACATAACCTATTATTCCACGGCGTTATTTTTAGACGTTATTCGAAATAGCGCTTAACGTAAATGCTAGGTAAATTACGTTATGCGGTAACGTTATTTTAGTACGTAGTGTTAAAAATCGAATCGCGCATAGGTTTAATGTCAAAATAACGTAGGCGCTAATACTGCATGACACTATTTGGGTTACCGATATCTCTCTATTATATGGTTATACTGGTTCAGTAGGATGTAATAATTATTTATGTATCAAGGGAATTATGAGGGTGTTAATACCCCAGGGCAACGTTTGTGTCCCTCTACCAATTGCCCGTGGGTATTAACACCTGATAATTCCCGTGGTACATAGATAATTTTATATCCTAATGAATTTTCTGTATTCTGTCTATTTTTATAAAGGAATAAACCATAAACCAAAATTTCTATTTTTTCTCAAAGTTTTGCCTATTCAAGGTAGAAGCGGGAGTTATGGTAATCCTTAACTCCTTCGGGAGTTATGAAATCCTCAACTCCCTTGGGAGTTAAGACCCTGTTTATGACTATCGTAACCAAGGTATTATATGGTTATAATAGTACAGTAGGATATAAAATATATAAAATATAGTTATTTATGTATCAAGGGAATTATGCAGGTGTTAATACCCCAGGGCAACGTTTGTGTCCCGAGGGCCTCCGGCCCGAGGGACACCAATTGCCCGTGGGTATTAACTCCTGATAATTCCCGTGGTACATAGATAATTTTATATCCTACTGAATTTACTGTATTCTGTCTATTTTTATAAAGGAATAAGCCATAAATCAAAATTCTATTTTTTGTCAAAGCGTTACCTATTCAAGGTAAAAGCGGGAGTTATGGAAATCCTTAACTCCCTTGGGAGTTATGATATCCTTAACTCCCTTCCTTAACTCCCTTGGGAGTTATGAAAATCCTTAACTCCCTTGGGAGTTAAGACCCTGTTTATGATTATCGTAACCAAGGTATTATATGGTTTTAATAGTTCAGTAGGATATAAAATAATTAATTACATAACATGCATAACCAAAAATACATTCTTTTCTGCACCGCTTTTGAAGTAGAATGCAAGGCGTGTGTGTGCCAATTTAGACAGGTGAACTATCAATTAATACTAGAGTGTTATAAACCATAACCCAAAACCCACTACTGGGTTATGGTTTATAACTCACTCTTTTATAACGACAACGTAAAACGTCAGGAAATTAAAATCTATAAATCCTGCTTCGAAGAAGACTCATTCCCAAAAAATACCTGTTAGTTTTTTCAGTTCTTGTATGCTGCTCGTGTGTTATGATTTTCCAGTTGCTGGATAAAACCTTGTATGCCACTCGTATGTTAAGTCACTCGAGAAATTATACAACTCGGCCGGCCTGACGGCCTCGTGGTATAATTTTAACATTGGAAATGTTTATGTTCTCGTATATGAAGATCAAATTCGAAGTTTTCGTTCAAGGTCAAAAGACAGCGGTGTCGCCAGGGCCGTGCAGTGAAATAACCCGAAGCGTGTCGCAGTGGGCGCAGTGCTTGTGCCTTGCCGGCAAACAACAGGTAAGGGTTTTATCGTTATCTGGGCGGCCAAAATTTAAAAAAATATATAATATGGGAATAATGGGACAAAAATCATAGCGTTTATCGTTTGTTCTATTGGATGGGTATTTCAATAAAATAATAGATATTTACGATACAAGTGAGTTAACAACATACTTAAGATACGGGTCCGTTACACTGCCCCCCCCCCCCCCCCCCCGGTTTTCCAACAGGTCCAATTTTTCAGCACCCTATTGCACCCACCTAGCACCCAACTAACAGGGCTAGCACCACACCCTCCAGCGAGTTATAGAACATTTTCACCGGGGGGGGGGGCTAATGTAACGCGAGCCCCCCCCCCCCAGTTTTCCAACAGGTCCAATTTTTCAGCACCCTATTGCACCCACCTAGCACCCAACTTACAGGGCTAGCACCACACCCTCCAGCGAGTTATAGAACATTTTCACCGAAGTAGTGTTGCAGGTATTTCTTGTTCTTGTCTTGCTTTTTCTTGTTCTTGTCTTGTTCTTGCATGCAAGAACAAGACAAGAAGTGGATTAGCAAGAAATATACAAGACAAGAAACTAATGAGCAAGAACAAGATTTCTTGTGCAAGAAATTTGCAAGAAGCAAGACTTCTTGCATAATTTATTTTAAACAATAATAATTAGTTAATAAATAATAGCTAAAAGTACACAATTTCTTATACTCGCATAACATCATTTATTGTAAATAAATAATAGTTCTTTAAGTATTAAGGGCGGTAAGTGTCATCTACCGCTCGAGAGTGTTTGAAGACCGACGCGACAGCGGAGGTCTTTGATATTCGAGGGTGGTTTACGACACTTATGGTCGTTTCCACCAACTATTTTAGGGGAGCCCTAACGATAAGTATTCCTTAAAATGACCTTTTTACATGGAGAAATGTCAGTTAAGGATCCCCTAAAATAGTTGGTGGAAACGGCCATTAACTCCCAAAATACTTATAACGTTTTATGCGCACATCGGACTCTTCCAGTTCAAAAATAAAAGAACTATACCTATACAATGACATTCATTTGACATTGTTTTGTTTCCAAAAATCAAAGCCGTTTTCTCGCATCCACTATTTTCAAAACAGGTTTGAACCAATGGCAAAAAAGTATTGGCGATTCCGACTACCGATGGGGGCGCTGGCGTTTGTAAACAATTATAGCAGAAAACGAGTAATATTTTGACGTTCAGCATTGTATTTATATGCATTCGTATTTCTTTCGCTAATTTTCTCGTTGTTCTCGTAGTTTTTTCAGTGGTTTTTTACTATATTTTTAAAATTTTGAACGTTGTGACTTTCTTTTGTGCATTTCGTATCCATGCAACACGAAATGTGGAAAATGGAGGCCTGTCTTTGAGTTTGGCTACAGTCTTTCTCCGCTCTATCACCTCTCCTTGTCCCACTACATTCAAAAATTTCACGCGATCACTATTTTTCTTAGGAAATAGTGAAAATAAATAGTTCTGTCTGCATCTTTTCGGGAATGGCATTCGTATACACAGCAGTTTGTGTTGTGCTGGGACTTTGAGGCAGATGCTATCGAATTCCTGTAATAAGTACCTCACAGAATCACAATAAAAGCTTTTCCTTGATTATTCCCCACTTCTCGACACAAAACACGTCGTAATCTAAATTAGGAACGAACAGAAAACATCGAAAAAGCATGAAAATATTCTAATACGGTATGTAAACAAACCATCTATCACTCTTAAGGTTAGTTCCAAATATTTCCGCCAGGTGCCGCATTGATTTTTGAAATCGCCAATCAATGAACTATAAACTACACGTATCTGGAATGGCACCGACTGTTGTCGCATATGGCATTCGTATGGCATTTGTCATCTCGCTTAGTGCGTCCAAAAAAGCTACATAGTGGGGGATCCCTTTCTCTCTCCAGTTCATTGCTGTTAGGTTTGGTATATTCCTAACCTCAAATATATTATTTTTTAGACAAAGAAAGATTTCCATAATTCGCCGATAAGATAAATAGAGATAGGTTTACCCCACATTCTCCATCTCAATTTGCCGCAAATCTATGGATCGGCGGGCCATTCCAGGTACGTGTTGTTTATAGTTCATTGTCGCCAATAGACGCGAGAAAACGGCTAAAGTCTTCCCCTTTATACAGGGTGTTCAGAAATTATTGCACCAAATTTTTATGGCATATTCTGCATCGAAAATAAACCCTAGTTTCCTATAAAAACATATATCCGGAAACGCTTCCTTTCCGAGATACAGGGTGTTGAAATTCTAAGAAAAAAACTATTTTTCTATCATAACTTTCAAACCACTCTAGATATTTCATTGAAATTTTGTACACTGCTTTCAAGCAGCAAAAGACATTTTTTGATATGAAATTATTTTTTTAAAAAATTACGAGTGACGTCCGTACCAGATTTCTATGGAATATTTTTCAAGAAAAAAATGGTGCG